TCAGTATTAATCGAAAAAGCAGCATCAGGCGCTCTTGGCAAACGCAAGATCACACATAGTTTTCGGTAATTTTTAATTTTGAGAGCTCTTAAGAGCATTTACAGTCTGTAAACAATGTTGGGATAACTTTCCGATAAATTATTTTGACATACAAAGTTTAGCACATCTAGAGATGATTCTCATGGAATATTTTTTCTAAAAAAGACTTAATTCTTCATACAAATCTATTTTGTATAAATCTGAATTCAGTTTTAAATATTAAATTTACACACTGGCATTTAAAGGTTTTCTCTGGCATTTCCTCTAACTTGTGGAGGTGTTTGAAATTGGCGTCATGATTTTTATACAACCTAAAACACTTGTTTATGCACTCAATAATTGTATCTCCAATTACAAGGAAAATTTAATTTAAAAATTTTCTTCCTCATTAATAATTCGTTCATTTGAAGCTTCTTATGAAAGTAGTGTTCTTTTCAGTTGAAAGCAATGACCTTTAAATTTAATTTCCAAGCCTGCAGATATTTGCTCTGCTTTGCAGTGTTCCAGCAGTTTTATAAATGGGAGATCCGAAACTCTTTGAGAATTCTAGTAACTTCCTGATAGGCTTTATTGCAATTCCCATGTTTACGCTTTTCTTTGGTAGTAATTTACTGACATACTTTACTGCCCAAGCACCCGCAGTTCCTGTCCTGGTGCTCAGGCTGGAGAGTTAATATTTGTGCACACACTGCAAGGATGGGCTTGAGACAGAGGGCCTGGCCCGACCCCCACACGGAGACACTCTTCTCCTGTGACTGCAGCTGCTACTAGTATTATCACTACCGATCAAGGCACAGGGCCTGGCCCCCTGGAGGACCCCCACAGTGCCCTGACTGTCCCCAAGGCATACATGTGTGTATACCTGGCCATCACATCACAGCTCAGCACCTGGGCCCTGGCGTATTTCTGCTGCTCACATGCATACTCCATTGTCCCATAGGACTTCACTTACAAGACACAAATTCACAAATAAAATGATGAAGAATTTCAAGATGGAGACAGCAGAGCGTGAAACCACCCATGCTACATGAAAGAAACCAGTCACGAAAGACCACTCGTCACGTGATTTCACTCCTATGAAACCAAGTCACAAGCTCGGGAAGCCAGCCCGGGCTTTCACTTGCCCTTGCCCGTGTCCCAGTGGGGTGCCACGTCCCATCAACAGCACCCAAGGACCACTGGGGATGGTGCAGGCATCCTTGGCCCAGTGTACCTCGGCTCTACCTCTCACCCTGGTTGTTGCTTAGAAGATAAGGGTGCGACAACATTCAAAGAGATCACATTCTAACGGTGCAGGGATTGCGGTCTAAAGAATGAAGACAAGACATAGTTGGATGATGTGTTGTTCTGTGTTTAAGTCGTAACATTCCAAATAGAAAAGCTTACCTGACCAGAAAAGAAATTATTGTTCACATTTTTCCTGCATAGTTTGTGGAAGACTTGCAGTTGCGGCCATGGTCAAGGAAGCATGGTACCAACCTTTGAGTCCCTGGAAGCCAGTGTTTGTGGGCAGCCAGGTGAATGATACAGCGTCGTGAATAACGATGCAACCAGCATTAAATAAATGACGTGGGGAATTGCAGAGACAAGATCTACGTTGTTTCAATACACACACAAGGTCTGACGAGCCATGGCTTTGCACGTGTAAGCAGCGCTGCTACCTGTTCTCGTGATGGGAGAAGTCAGTGTAGTCAGGAACGGGGCATCTACGATAAAGAACACACAGAGATGATTCGGGGGCATGAACAAAAAGAGATGGTGCTTGAACACCAAGAAGAATCTTTACATGCACTGATTGGACGATGAACACATGCTTCCATATCTCCTCCCTAACCATTATTCTAATTTTTTATTAACAAATCACTGTACCTGAGGTGGGTCCCTCAATTTTTAAAGACATTCTTTCAATCAAATTGTTTATATAGACAAGGGACTTGCAAAAAAATATTTGCCCAGAACTCATACATAGTAGGGGTAACACTGACCTCCCATGAGACTAGAAGCTTCTAGAGAACAGGAATTGTGTCTGCGTTGTTTACTCTGTATCCCTAGTACCACATGGATTTGAACCGACCGTCCTCTACATATCATCATCTAGTGACATTCATGGGTCTCTCTCAAGGATGGGTTGTATAGAAATTGTTCCGTTGAAAACTGTTGCCATAATCAGGACTTAGAAATGATTTTGTAAAACAGAGAACGCTCTACTGGTGTTCGGCATGAGCCAAATTGGACTCACGGAGCTCTTCTCAGATCCCGTTAATGGTTTATAGAATGCCTGCCAGATTTCAGGCACTCTTCCATACATTACTTCAGTCCGCCGTGCTGACGATCATCACACCATCTGCATTTACAGGGGAGTAAACAGACATGACAGCTTGGTGTCACCATGTCATTAGCAGAGCAAGCATAGAAAGAGAATGCTTGAGTTTCCAGGGCATGCGTTGCCTGGGTCTGAGGGAGCGCTGCACTGCCCCCACCCTTGCTTCCGTCTCCTAGGCTATTATATTTTATTCATAAGTCCCTCAAATTGGTCCAGGCAGTCTCTCACCACATTGCTTTCATGCAGCAGCCGATGCCATCCACCTGGGGATCAGAATGGTGGCTATTCCGTTGCTCCCGTTGCCACGACAGCCAGTAGGCTAAGTACTAATCTTCAGGCAATGAAATAACATCATTTGTGAAAATGATTACTGGCAGGTAAGCTACGCGACCCTGCAAAAATTGGTTGAGGTTATGTTTGCAAATGAGCCCCAAAGGACTCCCTGTCCTTTATAGACAGTGAGTCATTGCTTCTGGAAGAGCCCAATTCAGACCCTGCGTCTCTCTGCAGCCTGAGACTCCATGCACATCTCCCCTTTTCAGCCTCAGAGCTGAGTCTAGAGAGTGGATTTCTTTTTGGATAGTCTGGAAGTTCCTGGCCACTTAGAACACCCTTGTTGAAGCACCACCAGGTAAAAATTGCCCAGACCTAGCTGAAGAATCACAAACAGGCTTGTCAACCCCATGGCAGTGCTCTGTAGGACATGCTCATCCAGGATATAAAGTCAGACCAGAGACTGTTGGAAATGTGGTGCCAAACGTCAGACAAAAGGCTCTCTACTAATCCAGAAAGGTCTGAATAAAACACTACCCATTCTATAATTCATCCTCTGTGTCATAATTCATAGCCAGTCTTCCAGGTAAATTACACTTTAACTAGAATTTAGAAATTCTTGCAGACACGGGTAGCAAAACAACCAAGATAAATTCCCATGGTTATAAAGGACACACGACTTTTTCTTATATAAATGTCTTGTATTGAGTGTCCACCAGCTGGTGAATTGATAAATACAATGTGTCTATTCACACAATGGAATGGTATCCATTTGGCAATAAAAATGAATGAAATACTGATTCCTGCTTCGGGGTGGATGAACCTTGAAAACATTATACTCAGTGAAAGAAGTCAGTCATAAAAGATCACATATTGTATGATTTCATTTCTATGAAATGTTCAGAAGGGCAAATTTATATCGACAGGTCACCGGGGGCTTGAGTGGGGGAGTGAGGATCGGGTCGGGGGGAATGGGGAGCAACATCTAATGAGTACAAGCTTCCTTTTAGAAAGGACGAGAACATTCCAAAATCAGATTATGGTGATGGTTGCTCAACCTGGTTAATGTATGAAAAAAACGTTGAATCGTAGACTTTAAATGGTTGGATTGTATGATAAGTGAGTCATATTAAGAGAGACAGAAAAGTTTTTCATATTTGGGTTTTAAAGCATTCATGGCTTATTATAGATTATAATTTAACTCTAAAACTTAGAAGACTCTCACTTCAGAACTGGGTCATTTAGATCAATAACTTTAGGTTAAGACCGTGCTCACAATCCTGAACGCAACAATTAAAAAGGGCAAGGTTAAAAATAGCCTGCTTTTCATGCTCCTTTAATAACTTACTACTGCTCTTCCCTGACGAGTTGTCAAATTCTGAAGTGAGGCTCTGAGGGAAGCTGTTAGAGCACCGGGGAAAGGTGAAGCTTCGGTGGTGGGCCACGTGCCTGGAAACAAGCTTAGAAATCCAGCTGAAAGCTGGCGGATCCACAAGATTTATGGCCCATGTGAAAATATGCTAACTCAACTGTAAATTGATACAACACCAAATTGACGCCATCTTCTTACATAACACGGTCTAAACTGCCAGGCACAAACTTTTGGGAGAATTAATTGCAGCGTGTTAAATTTAAATGGAGTCTCCAGTGACTCGACAGAGGCCTGTCAGAGGCTGTACAAAATGGTCTCGCACCAGCTTGCAGGAGAGATGGAAGAGGTTCCCCAACACATGCTTTCAGCCAGAACAAGGGAAGAGATTTGAACAAATTAGCTCATGCAGTCCGTAAGAAAGTGGTGGGAATTTGGGGCCTTAAATTTAACTTCATTTAAGCCTTTAGGCCATGTACGAAGCATTACAGGCCTTTACTTATGAAAGCACGATGGGGCTTTTAAATCTTTTGAGCATAATCTTAAAAGGTCACAAATTAAGTATTCCTAGTGGGGCATGTGAATGGCTCAGTTGTTTGAGTCTCCGACTCTCGATTTTGGCTTAGGTCATGATCTCAGGGTCGTGAGATCGAGCACTGTGTCGGGCTCCACACTCAGCGGGGAGTCTGCCTGAGATTCTCCCTCTCTCCCTCTCCCCCTGCCCCTCCCCTCTCCTGCTTGCTCTCTCTCTCTAAAATAAATAAATAAATCTTTTTTTTTTTTTTTAAGAATATTGCTAGTGAGTGAAGCGGAGTGGGAGGTACGGGCTTCCAGCTATGGAATGAGTAAGTCATGGGGGTAAAAGGTACAGCACAGGGAATGTAGTCGATGGTGTTGCAATAACACTGTAAAAAAAAAAAGAAAAGGCTATTGCTAGTGAATGTCTTTCTCAATAGCTCTAGTTTTTTTCTTGTGTTTCTCTCACGGAAATTGCAGCATTTGAAATTGCTTCCTGAAGTAGCTGGAGCTCCAACCATCTTTCAGGAATCGCCATTCTCCCAGCAGCGTTTGACTCCTGATGCAAGGTCAGTAGGGCATGAGCCCCGTATGTGATGAGCCCTTCAAGATTAGTGAAGAGCCAACATCCTCCCGTCTTTTTTGTTTGTTTGTTTTGGTTCACTTTTGGGAGGACTTTTGTTCTCTCTTTAGAATGACTTTATACCTCATCCTGCTACCCCGCTTCCCCTCATGACACTCAGGAGTCATAGGAACACCAGGAACGCTGCCGAAATCAGAAAGGGCCTGCATGGAACCTTCTGTCTGTTTATTTTTCCCTCTGAATCAGCTGGTGTTTTGAATAATGACCAAAGGTCTATTTTTATCCAAGCAACACTTCTGCATTTTGAATTCATGACATAGGTCTTAGGATTTGATATTCTGTATTTCAAATTCTCACCTTCTGTAGTTTAAAATGCTCACGGTCGTATGTTAACCATCACTGGATGGAGTCATTTAGTGGGATATTCTCCCTTCTTTAGATACTACCTCTGACTAGAAATTCAAGAGATCTGTTCTTCACGGATGTGTGTTCCTTCCACCCTGACTTGATTATATTTTAAGGAGTGTTTTCAGGCCCAGGTAACACTGGGGCTCCAAGATTCAAGGACCCTAGGCTTCTCTGCGTCTCTCTGTTTCCTCCTGTTCACAGCCTCTCCTTCTTGTCCTTTGACTCTTTTTTTTTTTTTAAACTGGTCATAAAATTAAAAGTATAACTCATTGTTCTATGCCCTAGGAGATTTTATGTTCTCTATTCTTAATTCAGGAAATGGGTTGATCTAACACCATTTGTTCCAAACCTTGACTCATTAAACAAACTTCTAATCTAATTTGATAATTGTGGTGGATCCGATCATACCAGGTACATTAGTAGACTCATTAGTAGATTCATTTTTCCTTGTTAGTTAATAAATGGGCTGTCTAATTTTAATTAGAATTTAAGAAATGGATAAAGAAGCTGAGAAGGACAACAACGAGATAAAAAGACCGATGACTAAAAAAATCAATTCTGACTTGGACATTCTCTAATTCCTTAAGATTCTACAGAGGAGGTGAGTGGAATGTTTCATGTTCTTAAAGCAACTCTTATTCAAAAAGCTGGGTTTTTTAATAATAATTAAAATATATTTCATAGTCCGTGTAATTCACCCATTTAAAGTACATGATTTAGTGGTTTTTCATATAGGCATAGAGTTGTGCAACCATCACTAAATAATTTTTGAAAATTTCACCATCCCCAAAGAAACCCCATATACATTAGCCATCATTCCCCATTCCCTAACCCCTAGGACCCCCCACTCCCAGCTCCAGACACCAATCGACTTGGTGTCTCAATGGATTTGATTATTCTGGACATTTCACTTAAATAGAATAATTAATATGTGATCCTTTGTGGCTGACTTCTTTCACTGAGCATGTTTTCAAGGTTGCATTCATGTTGCAGCATGTGTCAGTAGTTTATTTCTTTTTATTCCTGAATCATATTCCACTGTATGGACATACCACATTTTGTTAATCTATTCGTCAATTGACAGACATTGGGGTGTTAAAACTTTTTGGCTCTTATTATTATGCTGCTATGAACATTTGTGTACAAGTTTTTGTGTGAACAGTTCTCTTGGGCATATACACTAGTGTCCACTTACCCACCCGAGATTTGTTCCAAGACCCCACTGGATGCCTGAAACTGTAGATAGTACCAACCCTATATATCTCTCTTTTTTACATACATACCTATGATAAAGTTTACTTTATAAATCTGGCACACTGGGCGCCTGGGTGGCTCAGTTGGTTAAGCGACTGCCTTCGGCTCAGGTCATGATCCTGGAGTCCCGGGATCGAGGCCCACATCGGGCTCCCTGCTCAGCAGGGTGTCTGCTTCTCCCTTGGACCCTCCCCCATCTCATGCTCTCTCTCTCTATCTCATTCTCTCTCTCAAATAAATAAATAAAATCTTTAAAAAAAAATCTGGCACACTAAGAGATTTACAACAACTAATAATAAAATAGAACAATTGTAGCAATATACTGTAATAAAAGTTATGTGAATGTGGTCTCTCATGCACACTTATAATATCTTATAATAATTATCTCAAAATATCTTATCCTGTACTCGCCCTTCTTTATCTGTGATGACCTGAGATGATAAAATGTTTACATTATAAGATGAAGTGAGGTGAATAATGTAGACATTGTGACCTAGCGCTAGGGTAGTATTCACGTCCTGACGCTTGGTCAGAAGGCAGATCATGTCCTTCCAGACCTCTATTGACCTTGCGTAACTGAAAGCCTGGAAAAGAGGGCACTAGCGTACCTTAGAGCAGAATTGCTGGGTCACATGGTAACTTTATGTTTACCTTTTGAGGACCTGCCCGTCTGTGTTCCATGGTGGCTGCGCCATTTTACATTCCCTCCAGTAGTTGTAGGAGGGCTCCAATTTTCCCCATCTTTGCCAACACTTGGTGCTATTTCTTTTTCATGATAGCCATCCCAGTAGGTATGAGGCAGTATCTGATTGTGACTATTTTTAATGAGTTGTTGAAAGAGAGTGGACCGTTATAGGTAAAAAAAGAAGACTTTGCCTATTATGGTTACCTTTGTCATCTGATAGACTTGATGTTCCCTGCGCTGATTCCATTGTCTTTTAAGATGAACATTTCTCAATCTTTTTTTTCCCCCAAAATATGTTCCACTTGAAGAAATATTGAAAACTCACAATATCCTGAAGTTCTCATATACCTCCTAGGTTGAGAATCATCTTAACCAATTATCTGAAGCTTTCTGATTTTACAGAGCAGGAAAATACAGTTGCTAAGTTTGTATTTGGCCAGTTATCAATTGCAATAAACATAATTTCATCAAATAAAGAATATTTAACCCTCAAAACAGTAGAAGACCCGTTTCAGGCTAAAAGAGAGTCTTTTCCCATTTTACCTGCACACACAACCACACACACATGTACTACCATAATTGTCCTTACTGAAAATCCTGTAGGACCTGTGGTGAGGACTTACACTGGAATAACGTTGTTGATACTCTCACAGGCAAGTGGCCTTCTCTGACAGGCGTACTCCCCTAGAGGTGTATGAATGAACAGCGCCATGGAGAAAGGGATGTTGCCTAAGTCTGAGCCGAGAATGTTCCAGTAGCCACCTTTATACTTCTTCAAGTAACTCTGTGCCAAAACTACTGGCCCTGCCTGTGCTCATTGCCTGAGTATAAAATAATCTTTCTTTGACGAAGACCAAAACCATTAGATGAAAGGTTGGCGGGAAACCTGATAATGGAGGCGTCGGTCTGCTACATGTGGCACATACTGGTCTCTCTGGACTTTGTAAAAGCAGGACAATAAGCCATTAGGTATCACATGACGTGATGCCAGCAGAAGTACACAGCCCCTTGTGGGAGAGATTTTTGACCCTAAAAGTGAACCTGAGCTTGTCATTTAGATCTCTAGGTCCAACTATCAAATTACAAGAAAGACAGGGAGTTTGCAGAGTAAGTTGAATAAATACCACAAGGACACAATCAGCAGTACTGATGTGGGAGAGTCTACAGACAACGGTCACAAGTAGAAAAGGGATTGTTTGGGAATAAAGGATATTTAAGAGACACGGCAACCCAGTGTAATTTGTGATACTTGTTTGGATCCTGATTCAAACAAATAACCTGCAAGAAAGGCATTTTTAAGATAAAGTGGGGCATTTCAAATATGCTCTGGATATTAGATTATATTAAGGAATGGGTTTTTAATTGAGATATAATCAACATACAACCTTATATAGTTTCAGGTGTGCAACATATGAATTCAATACTTGTATATATTGTGAAGTGATCACCACATTGAGTCTAGTTAACATCTGTCACCACATGTAGTTATGGAATTTTTTTCCCTAAGAAGTGGTTATTAATCTTCTTAAGTGATAAAGGTCAGAGTGGTTATGTTTTTAAAAAGCCCTTATTATTTATCACTCAGAGATGCACACTGAAGTGTTTATAAGAGACATGTTATCTGAGATTTGCTTCAAAATGCTCAAGAAAAAAGAAGGAAGGAAATATATTGGGGAAATAAGTGACATAAGATGGGGATTATTTTGACAATTGTTGAAACTGAATAATAGATACATGTGGACTCATTATACTATTCTCCTTTCTGTTGCATATGTTTGAATGTTTCCATAATAAATAAGCTAAATAATAAAACAAACTTCCCTCCTTGGAAATAGAGGTAGATTAAAATTTAAAAGTACATGGTTTATGAGGGAAAAAAAGTGAGTGGGGGGAATAGCATAAATTTCCCTATACATTATTCTTCTGCATTGCTTTGGGAGATAGTTTGATGCTAACTGATTTTTTTTTAAGACTTTATTTATTTATTTATTTATTAAGATTTTATTTATTTATTTGACAGAGAGAGAGATACACCAAGAGAGAGAACACAAGCAGGGGGAGTGGGAGAGGGAGAAGCAGACTCCCTGCCGAGCAGGGAACCCGATGCGGGGCTCGATCCCAGGACCCTGGGATCATGACCTGAGCCGAAGGCAGACGCTTAATGACTGAGCCACCCAGGCGCCCCCAACGAACTGATTTAAGTACGATAAGAACTCATGACTCTACAAGTCACCAAAAGACTAAAGTAAAACAAAATTCCCAGATTGAATGGAAGGCAACGTATAGAGAAACTCCCAGGAGTCAAGCCAGGCAAGAGAAGTCATAACTAACTGAGAGCCCAGAGAAGACGAACTGCATAACCAAATGAGGACAAGGGAAATGGGAAATATAACTTTAACCCTGGAATCAGAAAATTTAAATGTTTTCAGTTGGTTTTTTTCACTGTCGACCCCCTCATCCTGCTACTTCAGACAGAGACATTTTCTGTTCAAGGAAGGAGTTATAATTTCATTGAGTAGAGTCTATGGCCTTGACCTCCAATGTGCACAGGCTGTGGAATTTAATTCCATTCCCCTGGTAGGGAGCAAATAACTTGCAGTATGTCCAGTAACCTCTTTGCAGCTAGCTTCCCATGCCAGGGTAGGCTGTAATCAGACACCAGCCCTATCATCCCTACTAACACCCAATTGCTTGCTTGGACGCTGCTTAAGGGAGGTGGTTAAGCCACGTGGAAGGACTCGCACAAGTGCAGACGACATCAAGTGTGCTAATTGAAGCAACTGGGCACGGAATTAGCGCTAAGAGACTCTAAGCCGGCCCTCTACATCAGTGCTGTGTCATAAATATACGGGAGCCACAAATGTCATTTTAAATTTTCTGGTAGCCACATTTGAAAAAATACAAAGACACAAGTAAAATTAATTTTAAAAAAATACTTTATGTAATCCAATATATCCAAAATATCACCACTTCATGTTGAAATAAGTAAAGTTAGTTTTAATAATATATTTTATTTAATCCAGTATATTTAATCTTCATGTAATCAATATAAAAAAACATTTTTTTAATACTAAGTCTCCAAAATCTGATGTGTATTTATACTCTCAGCACATCTCACATACTCACCAGCCACATTACAACTGCTCAACAGCCGCATGAAGCTACTTAGGCTACCATATTGGACGGCGCAGTTCTAAAAGATTGAGGGTGAAGTTGTATAGACACCAACTAGAGAAACTTCAGCGGTACGCAAGTACAAACGAAATATTTTTATTAGGAGGGAAAATGTTCAATATTAAATTCTTACGTGAATACTTTTCTCTTGTGGATAGTGAGATGAGCTGGCAGCCTCTAGAAGAGAGCTAAGCCTTCTTCTCTTCGGTCTGAGGACAGTGCACTGAGTCTGAATAACCAAAGGAGTGATGAAACTTGTTCACACAGGCTTGGAAATGTGAGTCATGGTAAATATGTGACGGGTAAGCAGAAAAAGAATTAGTAATCGCTAGACAATTGTTTCTCTTTTTTTTCTTAAGGTTTGGGCTTCACTTTATTAAGAATATAGTCCAGGGCGCCTGGGTGGCTCAGGTGGTTAAGCGACTGCCTTCGGCTCGGGTCATGATCCCGGAGTCCCGGGATCAAGTTCCGCATCGGGCTCCCTGCTGAGCAGGGAGTCTGCTTCTCCCTCTGACCCTCTTCCCTCTCGTGCTCTCTATCTCTCATTCTCTCTCTCTCAAATAAATAAATAAAATCTTAAAAAAGAAAAAAGAATATAGTCCAGCAAAGGAAGCAGAACCAAACATGACAGAAAGTGACTTGACCACGTGGTCACAGAGGCGGTGACAAGGGCAGCACCCGAACCCTTATCTCCTCTGCTAGCTCTACAGGAATCCATATTTTTGTCAGAAATGGAAAGCTGGAGTGTCGCTTGGGAGACAGGACCATCATGGAGGCTGGCTTCTCGTTGTCTTTGTTCAAGTAATCTCCATGGGTCCCATCTCCAAATTGTCCTGTTTCCATGCTCACAGACCCCTTTCCATGGCCTGTCCCCATTCCTACATTCCTCACACACATCTCAGTGAGAACTTGAGGGCTCTGTCGCAAATGCAGCTGACTGCCAAGGAGCCCCTTCTCTTTCTCCTCCACCCTCTGCCTCTCCACACGTGCCTCTGGGGTGGCTCACACAAGGCCATCGTGAAAGAGGAATCTGAGGGAGAGTGAAAAGAGGCAAAGCTTTCTCCAAAGACCCTGAAACAACCTTGAGTCCTCCTGGTTTCAGCTGAGAAGCTTCTGGTGAAAAGGGTGAGAGATTTAGCTCTCATCTTCAAGGTCCTCAGGTTGACATCCTGGGGGTGGTCTGTCTTCTTTGGCCATTAGGGCTGTGGTTCACTAGTCCTGGAGGCTTTGGGGGTGCCGCTCCTTCCCAGACAGGGTCATGTTGGCGCACATGGAGCCGTATGAGCAGCCCTCTGCCTGTCACAACCCTGACCACGTGGTGCTTCGGTCTCCCTCGCCGTGCAACACCCACCAACGCTTGCACAGCTCCTTCTGTGGGCTCCCAGCCACAGCCTGACAGTTTTTAAAAGAGAATCAGACCAAAACGATTCCCCAAGTTGCACAGTTTAATAATATTACGAGGGGTGCCTGGGTGTCTCAGTTGGTTGAGTGTGGGACTCTTGATCTCAGCTCAGGTCTTGATCTCAGAGTCATGGGTTCAAGCCCCACATTGGGCTCCATGCTGGGCATGGAGCTTACTTAAAAAATAATAATAATAATAAATAATAATTAAAAATAAAAAATAACAACAACAACAATAATAACGTTACAGAGCCCAAACTCTGGGTAAGAACCAAGCTCTACCTGGAAAGTTACAATGCACAGATGTACCCTCATAGAGGTCGGTTCATCTCTTTTGGTTATATTAAATTCAAAACCACCCCCTCCTCCTGCTGCCCACCCCCCACCACTTCTGTGCCACCTATGTGTACACCACTGGTCTCCAACAATCGTGTTTTACAGGCTGCATTGTATGCCTGGATTCCCGTCCACTGAGATGGAGGAAAAGACATTCACCCCTCTTGCAAGAAGAGTGGGGCACCATGTCAGACCATTGCCTGAGAACATGGAAAGACCCTGCAATTCCAACCTGAGGTCAAGAAAGTATGTGTGCCAATTAAACTCAACCTACCCAAGCTGCTAGCAGTAACACTCCGACAACCACAGTCAACCAAGCTCTGAAGACTATGAAATAATGCCACCCTCCTTCAGGAAGCTTGGGTGCCTCCAAGACTTGGCTTTTGGCTTCCTCCCTACTGAGTGATCCAAAAGACAGCAAGGAGAAAACCACCATACCTTTTTTAATCTAGTCTTGGAAGCCCCACCCTGTCAGTTTTACCACACTCTACTGATTAGAAGTGAGTCATTAAGTCCGGCCCCACTCCACACTCAAGGAGAGGAAACTTAGACTCCACCTCTTGAAGGAACATGTGTCAGAGAATTGAAGGATACATTTTAAAACCACAACAACATATGTGGGCTATACTCCTCTTCGGGGGCTGCTCCCGACTCTTTCACACCCACCGTCTCCTGAGAGGTTCTGCAACATCACCTCCAAGTGGTTCCTGCCTCAAAAGGTATTTTCCCTCCAGCCATATGAGGGTCTCCTGACATAGACCCTTCCAACAATCTAAACCGCTTTCAAAACTTCAGCTTTTGACCCATTAGGGGATCTTGGCCAGTTTTTTTTTTTTTTTACAAATAGATGAGATAAGAAAATATATACATGTATTCCACATAGTAAGGATAAGTTTCATGAAATATTTCTTTCAATTCTTTCTTCATTCACCTAAATAGTTATTGAAGACCTCCAGTGTGCCAGGCACCATTTTGGCACATTTGGCATCCATAAGTGAACAAAAGAAAGATCCTGTGCTCTAGGAGCTTACACTTTAGTGGAAAGGTTCAGACCATAAAAATAAACATAATAAAAGTAATTATTTGGTATGTCCCAAGGTTTGATAGAAAAAGGAAAAGTAGAGCAACATAAAGGAGTTCAAAATGGGGGGTTAGTTGCAATTGTTATTAAGGGAAATAGGCATCCCTGATAAAGTGACAACTAAATAATACGTGTGCATATTTAAGTGCATACTTAGGCGTGTGTGTGTGTGTGTGTGTGTGTGTGTGTGTACACTAAGTCTACTACAAAATTAATTTCTAACTGTGAATCATGAAATCTAAAAAACACTGCCGCTAGTGACAGGGTGGTCCAGACATAATGGGAAGGAAAAAGGCAAAGAGAAAAGGAAGAGGAACAGCCTTTTTTCCCTTCAGTTTTGGGGCCAGAGCTAGTACCTGTTTGGTGAAGAATGAGGATGGGGCCATCTTTCAAAACCAGCCCCAAGCTGGTGTGAAGCACCACCTCAAACCAAGAGATTTGTCACTTTCTTCACCTGGCTAAACCCATGCCTTTTAGTTAAAAACCTATCTCGGAGGGTGGGGGGATGGGTTAGCCTGGTGATGGGTATTGAGGAGGGCACATTCTGCATGGAGCACTGGGTGTTATGAACAAACAATGAATCATGGAACACTACACCAAAACAAATTATGTAATATATGGTGATTAACATAACAATAAAAAAATTAAAAAAAAACCTATCTCAACCTTTATCAAGCTCACTAGTAAGGTCATAAATACAATAGGCTATGATGTAGGTCGAATAAACTGCGTTGTGTTGAAGAAGCATGGACGGGTTCCAAATCCTGATGAGGTGGGAGTTACAGGAGGCACGGATCCTGAGGAATTTTCTGGAAATAGCAGTGGGGAAGACTGCATGGGGAGAAAGGATTTCCACAGAGAAACAAAGTGTGTGCAAAGTCCTAGAGGGGAGATGTATGGCATAGCGAGAATGCAAGCACTAGGATTCTAAATTATGGGGTGGTAATATGGTGAGGTCAGAGCCAGTCTGACTTTATTTTTTTTTAATTTTTTTAAGATTTTATTTATTTATTTGAGAGAGAGAATGAGATAGAGAGAGCACATGAGAGGGAAGA